TGCACTGTCTGTAATTTTCTGCCCATTAGTCTCCTCAATCCTTGCTGAGCTGTTTACTTTTCCTTCTCTTCAATGTTTCTTTTAATACTCCCGCAAGAGCTGAATGAAACTCCCCTCTGCTGCTCTCTCACTTGGATAGTTGGTTCTGTTTTGACTATAGAAGCTAGTATGTCCTCAGCCTGTACCCTGCCAGTAGTGGGAAGAGATTCTCATTCAGAGAAGAGGGTTGGGCCTGCGGAGTCAGCAAAAACAAACGTTTGAAGGCTGAAGTGGAAAAAGAATGTGGAGAGTTCCTGGCTATATATATAGTGGTGATGAGGGTCCAGCTTTCTGGTAGAGAAGAAGTTGTAAAAGTTACTTTTCAGCATTTCAAAGGCAGGAGTATCTGTCCAATATACTCAGCCTACATATTTGTAAATAAAGCAAATATTACAAATATTGCTTTTATGAGATCTTAGGAGGGATGCAATTTTTAAAAATCAGTTTTTGTTGTCTACACCACTGCACACTGCTCACACCATTGTCTGAAGTGACACCAACTGTCTGAAAAAGTGGTGGAGCTTCGCCTTAAGTTCTTTATCAAGGTATTAACAGAGCACTCATCATTCCTGAGTTTTCCCAGCTCAGATGTGGTTCACCTCTTCAAAGCTAAACCTAGTGGTGTTTTCTGTAAATGTTCCCTTTAAATATTTATCTGATAAAAGACCAGGGAATTGTTTTTCTGTTCTTCAGTGCATTTTTCATGCAGAAGTGGCTGTTTCACATATCAGCATTATATCTCTTTATGAGGAAAATGACTGAATTCCTCCATCATGCTAAATGGTGGTTTGTTTAAACATGGCTTGAACACACTACCCCTGGCTGATTTCACATAACTTGCTAAGCAAAACCCAAACCTCATTTTAGGTTGGTGCAATAGATGAGCTCAGTCACTGATTTTTTTTTTCCATATAAATCGCTGTTTCAAGGAGGAGAGACCTAGTAGAAATCTCCACCTAGAAACTCAATGTACATAGAAACAGCAAACTCTCAGGTAGGATACATATTACAAACATGTAATAATGAATCTTTTTAATATTTCAGTTTCAGACTTTGGTTTATAACATGAGCTTCATTAACAGTAGTAAATTGTTCTGAGAGTAGCCTCAGTTGACAATAAGGCTGAACAAGGTGAGGCTGTTCACGAGCAGTTAGCAATTAATTATTTGCTGCAGTGGAATGCAGCTGTGTTTTTTTAAGTGGCCCTGTTCTTCTTGAACTGCTGGCACGCTAACAGGAATACGCTCAAAGCCTGGGCATTAGAAAGAAGGCAAGTTGCACTAACCAAGTGGCCCAATTAGGATAGAGCGCTTCACGAAAACTCCTAACCCTGCCACAGGTTAAGCCTCCTTACATGGTTAGACCGAGCTCTGCCATCTGTAGCATAGATATATCTAAGGATTACAGAAAGATGTAGGATGGTTTCTACATTGCAACTCTGCCTTGTTTCTCATTTTAATAAGTACTAGATACCCTAATGTATCATGCATATGTGACAGAGTGTGCATGGCTGGATTCATATACAGTATTCTGCTATGCCATGATTTGTTTTAACCATAGTTTGTTGACTGCCACAAGGGATGGGTTTACATATTGCATTAAGCTGTGGCTTTCTTAACCATGGTTTATTGAATAAACACAGCTGGCTGGGTTCTCATCTTGTAATCCATTGTATATAAGCTACAGCGGCTGGGTTAACATATTAATGAAATAGTCTATGCATGAATGAGTTAGGGCTAGTGGATCAGGGTCCAATAGTCCTTCAGATATTTGTAGCCCAGCATGGAAGAAATGTGAATTTTCTATGTGAAGAGAGACAATGTCTTGATGTGATTTAATGATGTGTTGTTGGCTAATTGCTACCTCATTTGCCAATATTTCTTCTGGGAAATTGTGACTCAACATATTTTGCCAAGGAAAGCTGGGGGAAATGGAAGTCTGATCTGATTTGTTCTGGAAGGATTCACACAACATACTTGGCTAAAATGTGGTTGGCTAGTTTATGGTGTAGTGCATTGCACAAACCTGTTTAGTTCAATACCCCATGGATCATTTAACCATGGGTCAGCTTCATTGTTCCATCACACTCAGTACTATCTGTGTTGACTATTAGCAGCACTCTAGGTGTTCAGGTAAATGTCATTCTTGTGTTTTCTTCTCAAGAACCTGAAACTGGAATTGCTAAAGGCTACTCTTAAGAGGTTCATGTACATGGATATACATTTATGTGTGCAGTTCAGCACTGAGCTATGATTACTACATGCTATATAATGCTATAGATGCTACTTATATCTTATTGTACACACATACTATTCTCTTGGTATAACCTATAACAGTATTCTCCAGCTTTATGCTCTTCTGGGGTATTGGAGTACATTCCTGTCACCTAGCCAATGTGGCCTTTGATCATACTAGCTGAGGATGGTGGATAGTGTTAAGTCAGGGATTACAATCAGAGCTGCTGGTACTCTGGAAGTCCACCCAAAGGAAGGGAGAAAGTTGCATATGCTATCACCTTTCATGAAAGCTGTCCATTAATTTTCAGCTTTTCCCACCAATGAAGAGGTAGGATTTGGGACACAATGAAATCTGCTTGGTTTTAATTCTGAAGGAAACACCCATCACTCGAAATATCTTTCAGATAATAATCCTAACATGACCAATACATAAAAGATATTAAGGCTCTATTCCTATAAATTCTTACGAATTTAGTGGGTCTTCTTGGTATTTGTGAGTAGATATGCCTAATGAATGCTACAACAACTTCAGGAAACCAGATAACGTATTGTATGTCTAAGAACACAGGGGTATAGTTTACTTCTAATAATCTTACTGACATCTAGTGGTAACATGTACTGAAATTCTGAGAAACAATTTAATGTATCATGAGGGTTTCATTAAAGGCATGATCCAGTTATGGTTAAAGAAGAATAAAATGTATTAATTCTTATTCTGCCATAAAATACATTGGATGTTTGTTAAATGTCTCCGATAATCCCATACATTTTTCAAATTTTAGTTGTACAAACTATTGTATATTATCCTCCATAGCAAATACAACTGGATGCAGCAAGACTGATCAGTGTGAAATTTAAGGAAGTGTAGTGTTTTACTGATGCTTTCCTTAGTCAGGTTTTCATTTTGACACATCAAGCAGGGCAAAATTTGCATATGGGCCTACACATATACACACCCTCCCTTTTCTTTGAAATAGTGCCAAATCAAGCTGAAATGTGCCCATAAAAGATACTTCTGTTTCATCAAATTTAATCAATATTTTACTATTTATGACAGTGTTTCTCAACCTTGGCAACTTTAAGATATGCAGACTTCAGCTCCATGGCTCCAACTCCAACTTCAACTCCATGGCTGGCTGGGGAATTCTGGGAGTTGAAGTCCACACATCTTAAAGTTGCCAAGGTTGATAAACACTGGTTTATGAGTTACAAACAAGTGCACTGGATTGGATTTAAGCTTCTAGTCAACAGTTTTCTGCCAGGGCTCTGTTCTGAGAAGGACACCATTGTCAACATGCATGGATGGTTAGGAGATTATCTGGATCAGGATAGGAAAAACAGTTAGTGACAGTAGGGTAAAACTGAAGTAGGTTAAAATTAGGCCAACCAGATCTGGGCTGCAAAAATCCCACAAAATTATGTAGGGAACTCTTAACTCTTGGCTGCCATGTGATGGTTATCTGGATTTTTACACTCCAGATCTGGCAGTCCTAATTTAAAAATGCTCAATTCCATCTTCCAGCAGGAGAACAAAGTCAGGTCCCAGGTCACTTTACAAATAGAAAAAGCATTTGCAAAAATGGCATCCGACTGTTAAGTAAGGACCATGTGAACAATGAGCAATTCCCAAAGCCCAGTTCATTGGCAGCACAGAACTGTTTTTGTTCTGTCTCCAGTGCGTTCTTTTAGTTGTGCTGTGTTCTCTGCAATGGATGACTTTTCATGCCAAATACTCCAGTGAGATCTCTGTGTCAGTTCTTCACCAGATAAAAACCCAAATTCCAACAACCAGTTTCCGTAAAGAGGGTCCAGTTGACTTTCAGAGAACATTAATATTCCCTTGTTACCTCTGTGATTATGATCAGGCAGATAATTTACGACATAAGAAGCATACAAAATGAATAAAAAATTCTGAGCAAGTCAGAGGATCCAAAATCTTGCTTTGCTTAGAGAATTGAGCCTTGAGAATACCTTATGTTTTTATTCTGTTTTTAACTGTTAGCTGCCCAGAGTTATGCATATGAGATGGGCAGCCATACAAAATAAATAAATAAATAAATAAACTTATTAAACAGAATAACTTATTATTCGTATATCCATATAATCTTGCCTTATTTTGCTAAATGTGTAAGGTGGTACTTTTGTCTTAACAATCTGAAGATACTTAACGGTGTTAGGTAAAGCAACAATCATAATGCCGTATTTTATTGAGTACGAAATATGGTCTCCATCATTTCTTGGTAAACAGAATGGAATAGCTAATGCAACAACACCCATCCAAAGTAGGTTAATTTGGGGCAGCCTTGACATATAATACAGTGAAGTGACTGCTTCAAGTGACATCACATGAAGGTCTTTTATAGAAGCAAGGACTGTACTTGAATGATGTAGCCCTTGTTGGTGGAATGTGGTGTTGCTTTCAGCTCCAGGCAGCAAACCATCTTACGCCAGCAGTGCAGCAATGTAGCTCATTCATCTCCATCAGACTTGGATAATGACAGAGAGCATTGAAAGAAATTGATGCCTCTTAACCCTTTAATCTTGTGCAAAGACATGGAAATTTTAAACATGAATAATAGAGCTTCAAGTTAGGTTATCAGGTATAGTCTAAACTGTTTGAAATCTTCACTAGGATGATGGCCAAGGATCTATATCTCCTTGGTGGGACCAATCTTTTCTTTCTCATTACCTGAATCTTTGTTGATTGGGATGTAGGCATCCTCATTACTGTTCTATTTTGGGTCTTCTCAGAACAGAAGACTTTTTAAAGTCATATATGGAAATATCCTGTGGTGAGTGGAATTCAGCCATGTTATGCAGCAAAGAGCTTTGTGATATTTGATATTCATTGTAGGTGTCCAGTCTGTTTTTGGTGACCTCATTAATGAAACCTGCAAAAGTAGTTACCTTGAGTTAATATTCATTTGAGTAGATAATCTCTTTTAACTACAGAAACAGCTTCAGTTTTGAAATGTATTTTGTTTCATCCACAGGACTCAAAGGACACATCATTATGGAAGGCAATGCAACTGATTAAAAAGGACAAGGACATAATATGAATGAATGCAACAAGGACAGCAGGTTAAAAGAATTGAAATGTATATTCAAGAACAAGTGGGTAGATGGAAGCTAAATCTGCTGCTGCATCTTTGGGTACTTTTGTGTTTTCTGAGCAGCTTCACAATAGAGATATCTAGAATACATGGCAAAAAACCCCAACAACATCCTTGGAGCTTCCTGCCACCACTTACAGTCTGGAAGTAGGGCAACACAGACAGGCAAGAAAGCAACACGTTAACCCAAAACACGCCACCCTCTGGTTGCTTTACAGTGGGTGGAAAACAGCTTCTTTTCCTTACCTATTTCTCCACATCTGAGGGTGCTCTTTCTGGCACCTCTTTCTCCCATGCTATGATTTTTGTTGGAGTGATTCAGTGTGAGCCACTCTTTTTGCCTCTGAGATCATCATTCAGCCAGCAGTAGTAACTGCATTCTAGAAGGTGCAGTTAATGGGGGCAGTGCCGTGGAAAAGGAGGTTTATATATGGAATCTGATGAACAGCTTGCAGATCACACAGATTATGTTTGCCAATAATAATGTAAGAGCAGGCCTAGTAGATTAGGCCAAAGGCATCTTAATGCAGCATTTTATTTCTAACAGGGAGAAGGGGGACAAGGGCAGCAAAGATCACAGGATCTTGCTGCTTTCTTCAGAATGACAAGGGCAGCATTGTGGCATCATGCAGCAAGCAACACCCCTTTGGGGCGTGCATGCCATGTGGCGACACATGTAGAAAAGCAGTAGGGCTTGTGCTGAGAAACCACAGTGCTGATCAATCTGACCCACTGTCCCTTTGTTGCCCCCAGATGCTGCTGCATTGGGATGCTCTCAAGCAGAAGATGGCGACTTTACTGTTGTTCTGTGCAAGCCCTGAAAGTGCTTCTGATTCTTTGGAACACTTAGGAGCATGATGAGTACAGCACCTCTTTAAAGCAGAAGATCTTTTTTCAGTCCCTCATAGAAGCCTGGAAAACGATGCAGCTGCTTTAAAGAGATGCGATGCTCATGCTCCCATGCATTCCGAAAAGCTCTTCTGAAGCATTTTCAAAGCACAGAGAGTCCCAGGAGACATATCCTTCTCCCACCATAGCTCCCCTGGAAATGGTATTTGGTGGCATGCTTCTTGCGATACAGAGGGAACACTGAGACTTCGATTCTAATAGCCTGATAGCCTGTCTTCCATGAATTGAAAGGCAACCAAGTTAGTGGCCATTGCCATGTCTTGTGGGGATGAGTTTTACAGGTTAATTCTACACAGTGAACAGGTGTATGTTCTTTCACTGTTTTAATTCTCCATCCATTCCGCTTTATTGGATAGTGCCGGGTCCTTGTGGTTTGAGGGAGGGAGAAAAATTGGTCTGAGGCTATTTTATTGATACCATGCAAGAAGCTATATTCTTTGGTCATCTCCCCCTTCAACTGCCTTGTTTTCTATGTTAAAAAATCTCAAATCTGCCTTTTCTCCGAAGAAAGGTATTTGAGCCCCTGATCATTTGGTTACTCTCTTCTGTACATTTTCCAGCTCAGAAACCTCCTTTTTTCAAATGGGTAACCAGAATTGCACACGGTATTCCAGATGATAATATACCGTAGATGAATATATGGGCATTACAGTGTTGGCAGTTTTTCAATAAAGATGATATCATGCAACTACCCTTTGCACATTCTCTTGGTCTTTAGGATCTTGCACACATTAAAGCCAATTGCAACATGACATGGTCGTGTGCTACTGCAAGGTCACCAAAAATCCACATGTAAACTCTTAGATATTTCAGATGGAAGACTGTTAAATGAATGGGGTTGAATGCCAAAAAATGTGTGTGCCCAAAGTGAAAACTACATGATATAATTAGAGTTAAATCCAAATGAAGTCAACTCAGGGCAGTTACTTTGATGACTGTACATGTGTTTAATACTTTCCTTCTTCTGTCCTATTAAATACATGACAAATACTTGATGTCAGCCTTACCAGGTAGACCAGACAGGAGACACAACCAGATAAGCTAATTCTATTTTATTGTAAAGCTACATTGACAGAATCTTACAAGTCTGAAAGTACAATTCTCCCACCATCTCCTTTATACCCCAAAAAACTAGGGAGGTTCCCTTTTGAGCCTGTTACCCTGCCCACTATCCAGCTGCAGGCCATGCTGTCTCTTATCTGACCGTTCCCTAGGCAGCATCTCTGCGCCCTGTCTCTCTAGGTCTTTTCCACATACCATTACATTGTGCTAGTGTCCTCTCCTCTGATTTTTGTTTTTATGAAACTGCATAAATAAGAAATACAAAATCTGACTACAATGAACCACTCCCATTAATTTCATAATTGGAGGCAGTGTTCAAGTCAGCAGAAGCAAAAAATGGCCAAGTTTGGCTGGTGCATGTTTGAAATATACATTTTAAAAATAAGAACATATCTATATACTCTGCTTTAGAAGCTGTGATAAAAGCTTCCACAGTATCAATGTAGAGCTTTAGTCCAGGGATGTCCGTCGGGTTGGGAAAAGTAAGAAGAGATGGGAAGCTAAAAAGTCCAGATGGCGGTCATGGCCATGCAATTAAAACCCTGCCCCTTTTTAAGATACACCACAAGTGCAACACACTTAAAACAGGAGTAGGGCTTCAATCATGCAGTTGTGGACATCATCTGGACTTTTTTAGCCCCCCTCCCCAATGGATGCCCCAGTTCAGTTGCTTTTTAAATGAGCCTCTTGATCATCTATTGCCAACAAGACAGCACAATTTGGACCAGAGAGATCTTCAGATTCTAACAATATCAGCCCCACAGATTCATTCTGTGACTGGGGGTTCTTCATGGATAATTTACCAGCTTCCAATAAATGTATTTTAAAAATCCATGATCATATATAATTCAGGTGTTCAAATTCAGATGTTCAAAATTTTGTTAATTGCTTGGGTATCATACTGATTTAGCTATTCTCTGATCAGCAGGAGAGAATCTTGGATGGCCAGAGCATTTCTGCATACTTACAATCGGTCATTATTCTTCCTAGAAGCTTCTTCTCCATTACATGTCTTACACAATCCATCACATAGGGAAGGAATCCTTTCTCAATATCTATGCAAAATAACAAAGGAAAACAAGCATTATATTGTGATTCTTACATATATAGAAAACCACAGGGACTCCTGTGTCCAGTGAAGTACACTGCTGGCTCTTTAGAAATTATAATAAGAATATTACTAATTATCATTACTAACTAGCTTGGGGATCCAACGGGGGTTCGCAGCACTGGGAGTGACTGGTGGCTTGAGGACGCTGTCTTGTGTGACATTTTTCACCTGCTAAGATTCTTCAATCTTATGCAGAGAACCTCCTTGTCCCCCTCAAGTAAAATATGATAAGGTCCCTTGTTACGAAGGATGGGGACCTTATCAGTTGTGGTTCCCTGCTCATAGAAAGCTCTCCTCAAAGAGTTAAGTTTGACTCCTATTGTCTTGATGTATTTTTAATGCCAGGCAGAGAATTCTTTGTTTCTCAGGTATCTTCCTAGTTTTGTGCTCAGTATGCTTTTAAGTTCCCTGCATTGGGACAGTGGTTATACAATTTTTGCTTTTTCCAGGGTTAGCTAACCATGCTGAGCTATTTCTTTGTTTCCTTGTGCATTTTACAGATGTATGATCTTTTTTTGTTTTTGTTTTTAAATCATTAAGAAGAATGCAATGGTTTAAGTAACTTTGTTATCTATCCAGAGAACTTGGATTATTGGTAGATTACAAGTTCAATAGAACAGCTACCTAATAAATAATATTTAAAAATAGGACCAATAATCTCTGCATGTTTTTGTATTTATCAGGATACTATGTGTGTTCAGAAAATATTTCTAACTATAAAATCCTAAGCACGCTTACTCTGAAAGAAGTGTTAGTCTTGTAAATGGTACTGAATCACAATATCTAGGAGGAGCTTTAGGACAGGGTTTTTCAAAATGTGTTCCATGGAACTCTAGGGTGTTCCATATGGAACTAACTTGGTGGAGTTCTGTATAGAACTAACTTGATGGGGTTCCATAAGAAACTAATGGCAAAAAAAAAAAAAAGTCACTTGAACACATCTAATTTTCTGTCACTAGAGCTTTGCCTCTCAATCAGGGGTTCTGGATTATTACTTTTTTTTTAACAAGTACCACAGCCTGGAAAACTGAAAACCCCTGCTTTAGGGGATAATCCAGTTCTGTGGTCAGGTCCTGCTCCTCCTGCTCCAATAGTTTTTTGTTCTTCTTATTTTTGCTTTCTCTTCGTTTCTTTTTTTTTTAAATATGCAAAAAGAACAACAAGTAACAATACAGTGGAGACCTTAGTATTAACTATTAAGCTTAAGATAGAAACCTTCAGCATATAATAAGTAATGTATCTGCAGTTGTTTATTGATGCCACACTCAGCTTTAGATGTAAAATCTAAGCAACCTTAGGCTTATCAACTTTAATATTTCAGAAATCATAGTTAATATTGATATAAACCTTTTTTTATTTGTAAGGGTTTATTTACCTTTAAAATAATAATAATAACCTCCAGTCAGCGTAGTACAAATACCACTGATTACTTGCCATCAAGTTGTTTTTGATTTCTAGAGACCACATGACAATCCATTTTCTCCATGACAATCTATCCCTAACCAAATATCACTGTACCTAAATTTTTTAAAAAATGGATCAAGCAATATAAATATTTTCCCTATCTGTATCTGCTCACTGCTTAAAAATAAATGACTGAGGCTCTTGGTATGGATTATCCTTCTGCCAGAGATTAGGAGAGATGATTAATGGAGCTCCAAGCTCCCTTCATAGGGAACTTTGGTTCCTGCTATTGTTAGTGTCATCTAAGTATCAGCTTAAAATAGTTTTGCTTTCTCAGTAGAGTTTAACCATCAAGGGGGTTGTGTAATTATCTTATTTTCCAGTTGCACATTTAATTCTTACTGTAGGGGGGTTTCTTTTAATCTCATCCATGTTATAGAGTTTATAATAGTTTATTTCTTTATTATTATTATTCTGTACAGTTCAAGATGTTAAAAAGCAGTGATACCTGAACTTATTAAGCAAACCACACCATACGTAATCTTGTTAGCCTCCTTGAGGAACACATGAAGAAGAGGAATATTTTCCTAGCCAAGCCTTTTTAAATACTCTAAACATTTGTGTTTGACACATTTTGGGGGCCAGATGTTATTACATAGGGTGATTTAAGGGATTATTTGTATGAATTTAAAAAAATTATTTCCAACACAAATGACACTTACCACTTTGTACTTCATCATAGAAAAATCCTTTATTCCGAAGGTTAGAAAAGACTGAAGGAATCAGATCTGTCAGATACTGTTGAGCAAATCCCTGGGCTGCCACTTTCTTTGACACCATAGCTTGGTTTTCTTTTCTTTTGTACCGCTGTGCCTTGCGACGTTCCTTTAAATTACCATAAATTTTTCCATGTGACTTTTAGTAATGCAGATATTTTTCCATAACATATAAAACATGCTGAATCTTCCCCCGCCTCCCATCTGTAAGTATTGAAAAGTTCATTGACTCCAGAAAAAAAAAGTCAGTAATAATTACATTCTTCTGAAAGTGATTATTGCATTATGATTGTCTTGTTAATTTGGGGAATCTAAAGATGCTCTGTATATGTGGTTGCCTGTAGGCTATTTGTGTGTGTGTGTGTATGTGTGTATATGTGTATGTGTGGGTGAGGAAGAGAGAGAGAAAGAGAGAGAGACCAAGTAGTATGAAGAAGAAAATTGGTAACAGAAATGAAAATGGCTAATTCAAGTTAAACCTTCAAACCAACTATTTTAGTTATTTTAATTTATCATGTGTTGCCTTTGTGATAGTTTCACCTACTTCTGTTGATGGCAAAACTGATGCCCTATTCATCACTGTCTCAAAGCAGCTTGCTTCTGAAACCATTGCCTAGTGATCTGCAGGGAGTAACAATTGTGATCTGTGATGAGTAACAATTGCTTCAAAATGACCATGTCTCCTTTCCACTCATAATATTGCCTATTTCCCAGCCCCATAATACTTCCCCTGTTGCCATATTGACTCCATCACAGCACAGGTCAGTAGTGTTCTTTTTCAAAGGGCAAAACCCAAGCAGGTTTGCTTATTTCTTTATCAGAATTCCAGGCCATTCAATTCCAAAATGACTCTGGTTGGTTTCACAAAATTAAAAAACAGCATTATATAAAAGTCATCTGAGGGACCAAATATATTATGTTACTCCCAACTTTGAAGGACATGTCCAAACATCCTAACCCAAGGCCTGTGGGAAATGCCAGTTTTTTAAAAGTGAGCAAGGTGGGGGCCATTTGGATCTGGAGGGGGTACCTTTCCAAAGAGCAGGTACAGCAATAGAGAAGGCCTACCTCATCAGGGTCCTGCTAGATGACATTGGCTGATTAACAGGACCTGAAGCAAACAATCTGTCAGAGCACACAGGATGGGCAGGTACTATGGGAGATCAGTATCCCTCAATTAACTAAGACCTATGCCACATGGACTTTATAGGCCCCTTGAATTGTATCCAGAAGTCAACTGGCAATCAGCAGAGCTCACATAGTAGGGGTATTATATGTGCGTATGCTGCCACATTCTGAACCAGCTGCAGCTTCCAAGTGGTTTTCAAGCATAACTCCCTGTAGAGTGTTGCAATAGTTTACCCACAAGATGACCAACGCATGAGTGATAATGAGAAGGGCCTCCTGATTGAAGAATGGGTGCAAGTGGCACACAAGTTGAACCTATGCAAAGGCCTTCCTGGACAGAGCTGCCATCTGCTCATTGAGCAGGAGCTGAGAGTCCAGAAAGATCCTCAGATTACACATCAGTCCTGAATAGGGCAGTGCAACCCCACTCAGGATCTAGAGTAGAAAGTTCCCAGAATCGGGAGGACCAAGGTCCCATAGCCACTTGGTCTTGTTTGAGTTAAGCCTGTTTCTCTCTATCGAGACATTAACAACCTCTGGAGCAAGACCTTGACAGCATTGCTTGGTTGGCCAGGGCTCAAGATGTACAACTGAGTATCATCAGTGTACTGTTAAACAGTGGGAATGAGAGTGCCATATTCTGAAACATTCCACAAATCAGGGGCTTTAAACTCATCCTCTGTCCCTGAACCAACATGACTGGAACCAACCATGGAGAAAGAAGGAGAACTACTGTGACACTATGCCCCAAATTCTGACTCCTCATAGCTGATCCAGAAGGGTACCATGGTTGATGGTATTAGAAACTACTGAGAGACCAAGGACGACCAAGATAATATAGTAATATCTGCTATAGGTCTCAACAAACATGACCAATGCTGTGTCCCAACCTGAAACCCAAATGGAAAGGGTTTAGATTATCCATCTTGTCTAGGATCTTTTGTAACTGTTATCTGACCATCTTATTAACAATCTTCCCCAAAAAGCAAAGGTTGGAGAGTGGACAAAAATTGCCCAGGATGGTTGGATCCAGTGATGGCCTCTTGAAGAAGGTGCACTACCGCCTCCTTCAAGGCTGGTGGAACCTTCCCCTCTTTCAAAGAGGCTGTCACCTTTGCATGGATCCAGTTGCAAGTCATTTCTCAGACTGCCTTCACAAGAAAAGAAGGACAATGGGCTAATAAGTAGCTGGGTTAACTATCCCAAGGATCCTATCCACTTTCTCAGGAGTTACAGGATCAAACTCCTTCCAGTTAACCAAGCAAAACTGTGCCTCCACCACCTTGACCAGACCTGTCTAGTTGGAATTCAATTCCAAGCGAATATGATCAACATTGTTTGCTAGGTACCTGGCACATGTTAAGAATATGCTGTATGGATAAAGCTGTAAAAATCCATTTAATGTATTTACACACCTCAGCCCTCATATCTGTATTTGATCAGCTTGTCTTACATTATTTGCTATAAAAGAAGCTGCCCTTTTGAGATCATATCTGATTTAGATGACTTGCATGTAACTTCAGGTCACTGAAAACCTGACTGAACTAGGTACGTAAGAATCACTACTTTGTAGGGTGGGATCAAGACATTTTGATGCTTGAGACAAAGGACAAGATGGCATTCAGTCTCCATTCCTTGTAAAAAAAATGCTACAGCAAAATACAGAAGTACCTAAGCAAACCACTATGCAATGATTTCTACAAGAATTCTACCTTTTCCTCGCGGTGACGCCTGTCTTGTTCTTCGAGGCGTTGCACTTCAGCCAACTCTGCAATACGAAATTCTTGATAGGCACATTGGTGTGCCCGAAGATCATCAAATTCCTCTTCTTCCATGATTTCAAGCAAAGCTTGCTCCAAGGTTTTCCCAACCAACACCTCAAGCATCGGTTTAACTTCAATGTCAAAGTCAAAGAGCTGAGGGTAAAAAAAGAGCCAGATGACAGCTGTTCAACATCATTCCACTCCATAACAGGGAACAGAAAATATATTCTTCTGATCAGGCATAGACAAGCCTTTCATTTGTTAAATGCTTACAGAGCTTGTTGAAACGCTAGCTGGGACAATGGGAGTCAGGCTGAAGGCAATAAATATGGTCTGTTCCTAAGGATTGCATTAGGATTTGCAAATGAAATGTAACCTATTGAGCATGGGTTATGAAAATTGAGCAGGGGAAAGCCTTTCTGCTAGATTTAGATAGGCCCCATCCAGGACTGCTCTTTCCATTAATGAAGAGCACCCAGATCAATAGGAGGCCTGGAGAGGGTAGAAATTGCTGTTATTGCTGGGTATCACTTTCCCTGGAAAGAAGGACTGATGAAAATAATTCCCTTCCCCGCTGCAGTGCCAGCAAGACTCTGCTAAGCCCTATTCTGGTTCTGGACTCCTTTGTTAGATGTTGCCATTTTCTTCCTTCAGCTTCAATTGACCTAGGATAAGGGTAGGAAACTTGTATCCCTCCAGATGTTCTGAACTACAACTCTCAGCTACCCTAATTAGTGGTAATGCTAAGAGTTAAAATTAGAATCATCTGGACAACTATAGGTACCCTATTTCAGGTTTAGGAGCAACCAACTTTGGCAGAGGTATGTCCTACCAGAACGTATTCCCTTTTGCTTGAATTTGCCCACAGCCCAGAAATCACAACATACAGATGCTTTGTCATTATCCTTCCTCATTCAGGAATTGCAGACTGGAACATACACTACATTTATTTGCCTCTGTTTCCCCCCCTTTAAACATTATTTTTGTCCTCAGGCAGCAAATTCTAGCAATGAGTGTGGGCACAATTAGGGCAGCTCCTTCAGTCATTCCATCTGAGCATGCTCAGACTCTTTAAACATGCTTTAAACATTTTTCTGGGGCAGTTGCCAGATGCCATATTGTGCCATATGTTGCTTTCCTTGCTTTAGTGAATGGTTGCTAGGACCTTAAGGCCCCCCAAAATTAGCTGACTCCCATTTCCTTGCAAGCATCTTGTTCAGTTGAAAAAATGGAAGGGGGTTCAGACTATCTGATGTGGTGTTTCACAGTTCTTGTACTGGACTGAATTTTAGGATGCTGAAAGAGCAGAGTACTATGGAATGGTTTAACTTCTAAAGTTTCTAAAATTAGGAAGCTTTAAAAAATGTGTTTGGCAAAATCACAACTATTTTTTGGATTGTTCAGAACAATACTGGAATATTGTCAGTACCTCTCCTTCTTCGATTTGTGTTGCTACATCAGCTCCAGTCTTCTCTGGGGTGAACAATGGGCTGGGTGGCCTTTGTATGAAAGCATCTGTTTGACACTCCATGTCAACTTCAATAACACGATCTGCAATCTCTTCCAGGTACAATTCTGAAAAATAAGGCACATGGAACTCTGCCTTGAAAGAGCTCCTGTTCCCATGCTCTACCTGTGGTTTCTAGAACAGTCACTGAAAAAAGATAGATTGCTTTTTCTTTTATTTTATGCAGGTGTGCTTGTGGGGAGGGGGTCAAAAAAGACAAAATGGTGGCCTTGATCACACAGTCAAGGCCACCATCTTGACTTTTTTGATCCCTCCTCTTGTGAATGCCCATCTTTATGAAAACCTTCTTGCCCGGAATATATGACAAAATATGTACAGTATTTGCAGTACTGCTAACTGGAGTAACTTATTGCTATATGGCAGTTTGCTGTTCATTAAAAGACAAGTACTGAAAACTATTACCATGATTGTTAATAATAATAAAAACAGCCACCACCACAACAATAAATAGCACTGTGTATTGAATATGTTTAGGATGACATCTTGAAAATGATATACAGTATACACACTACAGAGAGTGTTAATAGGAAAGACAAAACTTTTAATCCAGATGGACCCTGGAATGTGTTAGAGTGAGATGCATAACAATATACCCTAGCAACATGCTCTTTTTATAATGTCATAAGAAAAATTAAAAGCACAAAATGTGGGAAAAACAGGATACTTGAAAAGAAAAAGCAAAATTCCTTGATGGACCAGGGCCCATCATTTGGGTGGATATTTCCCCCCAACAGGTTACCCTTTTTCTCAGCTCTAGAAGTTGTCATTCCACAGTCCAGATGCGCTCTGGTGCTTTACCTGTCTGTACATTGATGCGACTTCCAGGATCCTCAATTTCCGGTGCATGCACCTCACTCTCCTCCCTTGCTTGCTTCCGTTCAAGCATTTTCTTGTGGGCTTCATGTCGCTTCTGGATTTCAGTAGGATCAGGTTCTGGACTCTGGAAAGGGAGGGGAAGAATCCTCTGCTATTTTACATGGTGTTCTATTTTATTTTATTTATTCTATGTATAGCCTGCTTTTCATTCAAGAGATCGTGAGGGGATACTGTTTTCCTATTTTCCCCCACGACCACAATCCTTGAAAGTAGGTTGGGCAAGAGAGTGCCAAGGTCACCCAGGAAGCTTCTATGGCTGAGAGTGGACCTGACCCTCTGTCTCCCTGCTCCCCAATCCAAGACTTTAAGCACTACACCACACTGGATCTCACTTGGAGAAAAAAAACCTGTATAATTTTTTTTCACAGACCCAAATGATGTATATATATATTCTATATATATTCTATTTTATCTCCTTATAGTCTCCAAGAAGCTCTTCATACACACACGGAGAGAGAGAAATTAAGTCCTATAAACATACAGCTACCTCAGCATTCAAATTCTAGCCCTTTCCTCCTGCCTTTTAGATCAATGGACATTCCTCACCTTGAGATCAGGAGATAGGTTCCATCTTTACATAATGGCTCTGTTTAGCTCTGTTTAGTCTGAAAAAGGTTGGTTCTCAACTTTGGCCCTTACTGGCAAACTATGAGCACAACCATGCAGGATATTTTGGGCCGTGTTATGGCAGTGATTTGGCATTAATAACTTCTGGAATATCTTTCAACTTCTCAATCTACCATACAGCCCTGAGATTCCCTGGTGGGATCCCACCCATGTGGTAATAGACCTGACCTTTCTTAGAGGGGCTCAGACACGTCAGGCAAGTGCTACCATCTGATGAGATATTTTGCAACACAACTGTCATAACTGTAACACCTCCATTGCATAAACTTTCCAATAACAATCCAATTTTGATTTCTATTCTAAAATGTGGGCCTAAAGCCATGAACATACTAATCATCATGAAGGCAAAAGAAAAAAGACCTTTACATCCCTCTAAGTCCAGTATTTTCACAAGTTAGACATATTGAAACTATGAATCTCAAACAATCAGAAGGGGTGAAAATGTAAGTGCTGTTTAAAACAAAAGCACTTCAGTTGTCCCTGAATATAGTTAAAAAACACACTAAATCCAGTAAGATTTGGGGCCAGGCTTAGGTATATGTCCACAGGTTTTCTCTAAGAAAGCTGGATATTTGAGAATGGAAATCCATTTCTTCAGTGATAAATCTATAAAGGTTATTATGTATGAACATCACTCAATGAGCATGCACATGTGAACTAGGTGCCACCACAGCCCCATGAATAAGTATTTATTATAATTTTCCAGCCTTCCCATACTTAAATAAAGTACTTATAAGAAAAGGAACCCACCCAAGATAACATCTGCATAGCATATGTGTTTCCTCGAACCACTCTTCGATCATACATGAGGTTCCCATAGTGAACTGGTCCTTCTCTGTAATTCATAAAATTAAGAGGGGATCATATCAATGCCTCAAAAATACTGCCAATAAGGGATTTATGAAAGAGACACAAAGACAAATAGAGATTTGGTCCTACAAATATTATTAGGCTGTGTGATAGAGATAAATGCTTTTATAAAATGGGAGACATTCAAAAATGTAAAAAGCTGGCTAGATGGGCTATGTGCCCATTTAGTTTAAGATTGCCTACTTTGACTGTATGTCTTCTTGATCTCAGGTGGCAGCTTTTCCCAACATCTGGTTACTAGTACCTGGTCTTTTCAGAAAAACAGAGATGGAAGAGTGAATTTGGGATCTTCTGCTTGTGAAGCAGCTGCTCTAAACCAAGCTCTGGTGCCTCCTATGGAAATTAATTGTGCTTTGGCTTTTAGCGAGGCTGGTGCTTCACCTGGTGGTTTGCTTCCAAATAAAAAGATTATACTGTCACAACTCAGTAGAATAATTAAACTGAGTAACTTTGCACTTTGAAAAATAGGGCAGTGTGGCTTATGACTGTGTGGGTAAAAACACAAATTTGTCTTGCTAGTAGCAGAAGAGGCACAGATACATTCCCTTTCAAGGGTGTGCTCACCTTTAATACACAAGAAGATATATTTGTTAAATATAATGTGAATAAGAGCTAGGTTGGTAGAACCCATTATCCCTTTCTACAGTTTGCAACGCACTATCACAAAATGACAGTTTTTTCTCAATAACAGAAAGACATGAAGACAATTCTCTAGTGTATAGTGCTGCTGTTACTCTGGAATAAGCATTCCAATAAAAGGAAAGAATCAGATAATTTTATTACAGTCCACAGTGTGTTTTATAGGACAGACTTAATGCGAATGCGAATGCAGGGCTAGAGTTTGAAAACAGAAG